TGCGTAATATTGCTCCTTAGTAATTGAAGAGATAAGAGCACATTGTCATTTGATTTAAATAAACTTTGCTTTATGAATATTTTCTTAGGTATGCAGAAGAACTGGTGATCCTAATAAATTTATGTTCTGCAAAAGGTGCGACGGTGCGTACCATTGTTACTGTCAGCATCCTCCTCACAAGGTAGGGGCCGCTTTCCCGTTCTTGAGTTGTATATCTCAATCAAGTAACCTGCTTATTTCTGATGCACATGATTGAATATTGTAGAATGTAAGTTCTGGACCTTATTTGTGTCCAAAGCATACGAGGTGCCATAGCTGTGAGTCTAATGTTCCAGGAAATGGCCAAAGTGTGAGGTTTGCACTTCCTTCTCTTGGATGGTCTTGCTGATATTTCTTATTTTTTGTTTCAACATTTACATCTCGATTCTGTTGGTTTCTAAGTTTTTTCTTATCGAAAGGTTCTACATACGTTCACCTCATTGTCTGTTACTCTTAATTTTTATTTAAAATAAAAAACGCAATTTTATGTGGTGTAAGTGAACTACTTTTGTACGGTCTGTTATTCTCTTATATGCACTTCGCTGTTAATAATTCAACTAAACTCGAGTTATCCGGCTAACCTGCTGCGATAGACGATTAAGCTTTTCCGTTCAGTTTATCAATCTCAATTTCAGTTTGAATGTTGCAAGATATTTACTACCAATGATGCTTTTTTTAAATTTTGTCTTTTAATTAAGTCGTGTCGACTAATTAACAACATTCGAAGTTTGCGTAAGGTGGTCTAGACCCCTACGATTATATATAGAAGGCAGTTAATTAGTAATATTCTTCATAGTAACATGCATATGCATCGCTATGAGTTTATTTCCACCGGCATCAGGAAGGAACCTGTTTCTTTTGAGTTTTCATAAGTTGAACTGTTGAAATGCAGGTGGTTTCTGGGATATACATTTTGTGATGCATGTGGCAGATTATTTGTAAAGGGGAACTATTGCCCTGTGTGTTTGAAGGTAATATAATTTTCAAACACGATATTTTAGGATCTTAAGTAGAAGTTTGGAAAGTTCAGTTTCTGTGGTTAAATGTATTGACCACTGATAGGCTGTCGCCTTCTTGGTCGACTCCGATTACTCTCTGTAAACTTGCGTGTTCTTCATTTTAGGTTTATAGAGACTCGGAATCGACTCCGATGGTTTGCTGTGACACTTGCCAGCGCTGGGTACATTGCCAATGTGATAGTATCAGGTTCTTCCCTGCCTTTGTTCCTTACTTTTTGCACTTCTTTCCTTTTACTGTCCATGCTCATTGTTTGCCGCTAATTATCAGACACCACGTTTCCGACTTTTTGGAATTAAATGATCTATATTTGCTATTGGGAGTCCATTCTTCTATCTGATAACCGAGTTCCACGTCTGGCATCAGTGTTTCTTACAAGTAATAACCACTCAAACTTGAAAGTAAATAATCGAAAGCTTAAATGTTCGTAATGGTGGTAGCTGTGCAGGTTCGCACTGCTGTTGCTTTCCTTTGACACCACCGCGATAGTCATACAGATGGTGTCACTGGTTGGTAGTCTAGAATTGTTCCCTTGATGTTATCATTCGATTTGTCTTTAGCTGTAGACGAGCAGTAACATCGTCTGTCGTTTCCTTACGAAATTATTACAGCATGTTACCGAGTTAACTTTACCGAGTTCCTGTTTCCATGTGTTTTTTGTGCACGCGTTAACGATGAAATCGCTGTTCTCCATTTTCTAAATCTTTTTCTGTTATCGTTGCTAGGAAAAAAAATGTGATATCGATCTACACTTGCTAAGTTTAGTTCTTTTGATTTTTACAGTGATGAAAAATATTTACAGTTTCAAATGGACGGGAATCTACAGTACAAATGCACCGCATGTCGTGGAGAATGTTATCAGGTTTTCTTCACACCGCGAATCCGTTCCCCCTATTGTAGACGCTTACGGGAGATAGATGGTTTAGATTTATATTGTTCTTGAGCCCGAAAACTTTATTTTGTAGGTTAAGAATCTGGATGATGCTGTTCAAGAGATTTGGAGAAGAAAGGATGACGCCGATCGTGATCTAATTGTTAATTTGAGGGCTGCTGCTGGATTACCCATTCAAGAAGAAATATTTTCGATTTCACCTTATTCCGACGACGAAGAAAATGGTCCTTCTGTTATTAAGAACGAGTTTGGACGTTCAATAAAGCTGTCTCTGAAAGGGTTAGGGGACAACAAAGTGCCCAAGAAGAGTAAAGATTATGGGAAAAAATCGTCGAATAAGAAGTATTCAAAAGAAAAAGTTACTCAGATTCCCGTAGCCGATCAGTCTGAACTAGAAGGGCATAACGATGTTCAACAATACGGATCTGGCGAAGGTAACGACAAAAATGGTGGTTTGCAACCCCAAAATAATAAAGGCACATATTCATCTCCTGTTGCTGGTAGTCTTGGCCACCATGAAGGAATGTGCTCTATTAATCAACCAGGGGTGTTGAAACACAAGTTTGTGGACGAGGTGATGGTAAGTGACGAAGAAAGGACTTCAAAAGTTGTTCAAATCAAGGCCAACAAGACTCCTGGTTCGGAAACTGGAGAAGATGCAGGAAAACACGCCAGTAAGTCGAAGACAACGAAAGGAAAGAAGCTAGTAATAAATCTAGGTGCCCGGAAAATTAACGTAGCTAATTCCCCAAAGTCGGATGCTTCGAGCTGCCAACGAGAGCAAGATTTGGTTACCTCAAATGGTATGGTTTCTGGAAAGACTTGATAAGCTCACAGTGGTGTATTTACCTTAAATATGATGAAATGTTGGATCGAAATTGTATTGTAGGATTTAATTTGGAGTTCTCTTCTACGTGCAGGAGACAAAGTCGATAACTCGAGCCAATCAACAGGACCGAAGGCGGTTGAAACGGAGAAGAGCCTTCCTAGCTATGGGAAAGTTAGATTTGGATCTTCCGACACGAATTCTGCATTTGGCAGGACAAATACTGCCAGTGGATCTGAAGTTGGTACTCCAGATGGCCCTCGGGTATTTTCTCGTAAAAGAAACGTGGAAGGAAGCACACCTACAGTTGGTTCTCTCAGCGACGTTTCCACGGTAAGAGAAGAGAAGGTAGCTTCAGGAAAGCAACATGAAAGTGGATCCCATATATGCAATGATGGACATGATGATAGCTCTCAGACACCTCTACCACAGTCTTTGCCCAGAGACTCGAAACCTTTGTTGAAGTTCAAATTTAAGAAACCGACCCTCGAAAATCAAGCTTCTTCTCACGAGGAAGAAAGAAGTCTTGTCAAAGGCCAGCGGTCGAAAAGGAAAAGACCATCGCCCTTAATGGAGAAAATATACTTCAATGAAGTCGAAGACATGGCACGGTCTCGTCAAGATAATTTGTTGGATGAGATCATGGATGCTAATTGGATTCTCAAAAAATTGGGTAAAGATGCAATTGGAAAGAGGGTTGAAGTCCAACACCCATCAGACAAGTCATGGTAAGTGTTCTTTTCCTCTCTATCTACTAAACCCAGAAAGGGTATTAGTTTATACACTTCTAGCTATCTAAAGGGATCTGTTGGCATTGGCTAATGATATTACCATTTTAAATGATCAAGAAGTCATTTTCTTAGGATGATTCTATGAACATAACGTTGTTAAAGAACATTTTCTCTTTGATTTTTGTACAATATGAACTCCAAATCTCCAATTTCTGTTTTTGTTATGATGTTCAGGCAGAAAGGAGTGGTTTCAGACATGATCGATGGCACATCGACATTATCAGTCGAGGTCACCCTCGACGACAACAGAGTAAAAACGTTGGAACTTGGGAAGCAAGGGATTCGGCTCGTTCCTCTTAAGCAAAAGAGATCGAAATCATGAAGGCGGGGAATTAGCTAATATCATGTGGGATTTTCTTCTCCATTGTATATGCAGTGTATATGGAGATATGATTCTTTGGAGGATTTGAAGGAGGAAGCAAACAGTGGCTTTCTGGTTGCTTGGTGTGGAAAGCTGATCTCTATCTAACTCAACCAGATCCTGTAATCCCTTGAAGAACAAGAACTGGGTAGCTCACTTCTCTTGTAGTTCTATTAAGCTCTCTGCCATTTTGATAAATTTATAAAGTTTTAATTCTTCTAGGATAATACCATTGTCATAGAATAGGGAATGGACAGTCGGCCTAAATGGCCATTCGGGCTGTATTGGGTAGAACTCTTGTTCAATGAAAGTATGAGATTTTTTTTAATTTACTTTTATTTTTGTTGGGTTGATGAATGTCTGCTTCTAAATCTTTTAACCCATATTTGTTAACCCATATTTGAACTATTCGATCAAGGTAACCGGTTCAAGCCCACCGAGCGGAGCGGATATTGTCTTCTTTAGGCTTTCTCTCAAGGTTTTTAAAACACATTTGCTATTAAGGTTTTGGACATGGCCTTAACATACCACCCTTTCAAGAACGCAAAAGCCTATGGAAAAACTTCATCATGGCTTTCTTTTAGAATCGGTGGAAAGAAAGACATCAGAGAATATTTGCAGAAACGACATAGACCTACACAAAACTTTTCGACAATGTTGTTTACCAAGCTATATCTTGGTGTACACTGTCTAATATTTTTACTTCCTATAGTTATACCTCCCTCATTGCAAATTGGGAAGGTCTTCTGTGAACATCATGGATTATACACCCCTCTTGTAAATTTCACTCATCAATGAAATTGTCTCTTAAAAAAACAAAAAGAAAAAAAAAAATCTGCTAAGTTGAGTTTTCACACCCTTATAAAGAATAAACGAGCTTCCTCTCAAAGTTTTAAAACACGTCGGCTAGGGAGAGGTTTCCACACCCTTACAAAGAACAAAGAATGCTTTGTTTTGTTCTCCAACCAATGTGTGATCTCACATTCAACGTCCAACAGATACATTGAACAAAACACACGTTTCTTTATCTTTTTTTTATTGGCAAACACAAGTTTTGCCGGTCTAGAACTTTGCTCAACAATCCCATCTCCCAGAAGTGAACATTATCCTATATTATGCATTTGTTTGTACAACCAACAAATAATCAAGTTACAAAATTTAACATGCTTTATACGACTAACTACCTTCTTAAAGCGAAAAAGAAAATTTTGAAACTACTTCACTGATTATACTGGCGGCGGTGGCAAGTCTAGTAGGAGCCAGAATCCAACACAGTCCTCTGAATCCAAGTCGTCTTGTATGGCAAGAAAATGCAAGCCTCCACAAGCCTTTTTTGCTGCTTCCCAAGCTTCAGCCTCAGCAGTTGTCACTGGATTTTTTTTATAAGTAGCATAGACATATCGAGTCGAGATCCCAACGGATAGAATCAAACAAGCACGAGAGGTATCGGCTTCAACTGAATATACTTCCATTCCATTCATCCAAGCTGTGGAATGATACAAAAAGAGATCAAATGGCAGATTGTTTATACTCATCATACTGCGAGTATTGTTTGGGGAACATGTATGAAACAGAGAGTTCAATTTCTTACATTACAAAATCTTCATGATGGACGATATGATTGTAAAGAAATATTTTATACTACGATGATAGGTGTATAAAAATTTCGGGAAGAAAAATCTAATCGACTCGGAAAATTGAAATTAGAATGATTAACGAATTTGTTGTGAATCATTTGTTTATATATGTTCCGAATCACCAAAGCTCAACTGGTTTTAAAGTGGTGGTATACCTGCCAATGGTTGAGCTCGTGAAGATGCAACAGACAACCCTGGGATCATTGTATTGTCATCAATTTCGATCCCCAGTAAATCCAGATCAAGACTGGAGCCAAACATAAAACTTGCATTTAAGTTTGAGACCTCCTCTTGAACAGCTGAGAATCAATGGAGGATCAAATTATTATTGGAGAAACTATAAGAACAATAGGCAACATCCTGTAGTAAAGCAGCAACTCTTCAGCCATGTTTAGAGTCAACACAAAATAAAGAAGAAAAGCTATTGGTTTACCTGAAAAGGGCAATTGAACAAATGCCCACCTCTCCCCGAAAAGATTGTCTGGGAGTTCCATTGGAAATGGATTATCTAATGCAAGGAGGGGCTTGGACCCTTTCTGAAAACCTGGATGACGCGTGTAGACAGTCTCGTATCGTTCTTCCAGCCATAAAAGCAGGGAAAGACACTGATAGAGCAATGGAAAATCTTGAGCTCAGAGAGTTTAATCCATAATCTAAATCCAATCTACTTCACCAAGAAACTGAAGTGAATATAACACCTATAAATTCATATACCCTTTTACTTGGAATGGGCTTTACGCCAAGCTCGGTACATGCTTTTGTAATAATTGTCTGCATCTGTGACCTATAATCCCATCAAAATTTCTATCATATGAAGACAGAGACACCATTCTCGAATAAATTGCTACTCAATCATAGGTTTTTTTGACACAAATTCAGACACATTTTGAAGTTGAAATGCATGAACACAAGATTCATCCAAATGAGCTTAATCAATCAGAACATGTACCTGAAGAAGCGGATTTTCTCTGGTAATGGCACCCCCAACTCTTCAGTAATCGAAGAAATCGCATCTCTCAGAGTAATGCTATTAATAACATTGTTAGGAAAATACTTCGTGTACTGAAGCGAGAGCGAATTATCACACGCTACAAGCTCCCACACCTTCTTCCCTCTGATATCCAAAATAGGTCTCGAGCAGAAATCCAGCTCCCACTCCGTAATACTCTCAGGATCTGTCTCCGAATCCAAATAGGCCAACTCCAAAGTCGGATCATCCTCATCCTCGTCCACCGCCACCTCCACCTCTTCCGGCACCGAAATCGAGCTTTCCGATACAGAATTCGATCGAAAACGACGTAGTAGTTGTTGATTGATACGGAAATCGGCTGAGAATCTTTTCGGGGTTTTAATCGACTGTGAAAATGGTAACGATCTAGGTTTCGGTTTGCAAAGGTGAAGCCCCCCTGGGGTTCTTATTCTAGTGGGGTTGAAGCTTAAGGTCGCCATGGAAGTGGAGCTCTCTCAGTAAGATAAGCTTTGTAAGAGAGAGAGAAGCCAGTTTTGTTCGTTTTTTTTCCGCCACAAAATATCGTTACTGAAAATCTGCGCCGTTTTGGGCCATCCCAATTCTCCACCTTCAAAAGGCCCATTTTATTATCTTCCTTTTTTTTTAAAAAAAAAAATTTAAGCATAATTTAATTAGTCAGAGTATTAATAAATTTAATAAATGAGTTCGCTTTGGAATTACAAACTCAAATCTGAATTCTTCACTCTCTTTCTGCTAGCTATCTGAGATTCTCCGTTCAACACAATCGGGAAACCTGCCGCCATGGATTCACAGAACGACGTCGACGTTGGTTGCAGTCCTTCATGGAGCTCCGTCACGAATTGGTTGGTCGCTGGTGGCTGTTTGGACAGTACAGTTGCTTATGAATCCTTCTATTATCCGACTAACGAGGAGGAGACGCTCGATTCCGGCCCGAAGTTGCCTCTTGTTCTGCGCCGTCCTTCACTCGAGTCTGGTCCATGCGAGATCACTCGTGAGTTCTGAACTACTCGTTTTCTTCTCATTGTTTCGTTTGATATTTTGTTGGAGTGTTGTGGAGATCAGATGAAATTTTCCCTAACATAGGCTCTCAGAATGATACAATGGATTTTGCATCAAGAAATTGTAGGTTTTCCGATTCATTTATGCGTTTGTTGTTTCATCTTCTGATTTTTAGCTAGAAAATGACGATCGATGGATAATCTTAGGGCTGTAAGATTAAGTAGAGAATCGGTGACTATAAGTCAGGATTTAGCTCTCTGATTTGATTTGGTTAACAAAGACGGGAATAGTGACTATACGTTACTGCAATTTCTGCCTACTGGAGGTTGGGTGAATTTAACAATTTCTTGTTTCTCGAGTCACTGTTCAACTCGAGCAACTTTAAACATGGAATATTTAACGGGGATATGCTATTGCATTGTTAGTCCTTTTCCAGTTTGTTGTTTCCCCATCTTTGAAGTAAAAATTGAGTTGGCTACATTGCGTTAAGCATTTCAGACTTTCAGTGATGCTTCTTGAAAGGTTTAACAGTAACTAAAGATCATGGTTTGCAGTTCATTTTGCGGAAAAGCACGAGGTCCAGCAGGTTTATGTTAGAAGCACCGCTCGAGTCTATGAAATATATTACGCTACCAATTCTGAGGATGAAAATGAATATTTATGTACTGTTCGTTGTGGTGCTGCATTGAGAGATGAAGAAGTGCTACACACTACTGATATTGAAGTTGTATCTGCTCTTAAAAATGGGTCTAATGGAGATGTGGCCGAATCGAATTCACAACGTGGCAGTAATTCGAACACAAATGAAGATGATTGGGTTGATGTTAAAGCGCTTGATGGCCCGGCTGTTAATCATGAAAACAGTTCTTCTACATCCAAGTTTGGTGCAGACTTGGTGAGGATTTTAAGCAGATATGTTACATTGGAAATCTTTATTGCAATTCTCTTTGTAGTCTGGGATTTTACCTTCCATTTTATCATGAAATCTGCTTCCTATTAAAAAAAAAACATGGATCTCACCAGTATTTTATTGAGAAAAAAAAACTCATTCTATCCTTTCCTGTTTATTTGGATTCTCATGATACTATGGTGTTCTCTACTTAAGGTTTCCAATCTTGGATTAGTCTCTAGTGACAATAGTTGACCTTGTAATATTTCCCCCTGATTAATAACTATTTCATGGTGGTTGAATTGAATTATTTTATTTGAGGATAGCCAGTAGACTGGAAAAAGTTTTATCTTGTCATCTGCATCGGTCCAAGTCTACCACTAGCCGATATTGTCCTCATTGGACTTTCCTTTCGGGTTTTCCTTCAAAGTTTTTAAAATGTGTCTGCTAGGGAGAGGTTTCCACATGCTTGTAAAGAATGTTTTGTACTCTTCTCCAACCGATGTGGGATCTCACAATCCACTCTCCTTTGTGGCCCAGTGTCCTCGCTGGTACACCGCCCCGTATCCACCCTCCTTCGGGGTTTATCGTCCTAGCTGGCACACCACCTGGTGTCTAGCTCTGATACCATTTGTAACAGTCCAGCCCACCGCTAGTAGATATTGTCCTCTTTGGGTTTTCCCTTCCGGGCTTCCCTTCAAGGTTTTTAGAACGCGTCTACTAGAGAGATGTTTCCACACTCTTATAAAGAATGTTTTGTCCTCCTTCCCAACTGATGTGGGATCTCACGTCATCTATCAATGAAAAGCTGTTTCTCGCTAAAAGAAAGTGTACATGACCGAAGTGTTCATTAAAGAATGTGCCATTGGCTCCTAGATTTGGAAAGTCGCCTAAATCTTGGAAGGGAAGCTACCATTGGACTTGAAATGTCAGTGCTTGGTGATATTTTGAGAACGTTTCTTTTTAGTTGATGGACTGACTTTAGTCCTGAACAGTGACTAATTAACTCCTGAAGAGGAAGTGAGCTAATTGTGTTCCTGGATGATTTCTGCTTAGGAAGAAAGTTAGAATATCTAAACTTTTGCCTTGATGGAAGCAGTCTTCTATGGAAGGAAGATTCACACCGCATCTTTTTATAGCGACCGAAAATTTTGAATGCCTGAATGGTGATCTAGCGTTTAATCATGTCGTCTGAATAATTCTGTTTTTACTAATATTTTCCTGATGGATGGATTTTCTTCCCCCAGGGCTTTTATGAGGCTACAGCTGAAATAACGGATGCACAACCTTGCACGTCTCTTACAATCCGTCTTCTTTCACTTCAGAATAAAAGTACTGTATATGTTGATGAAGTCTATGTGTTTGCCAATCCCGTTGATTCAGAAGAAGAGGGTCCAGTGGAGAACTCAGGTCAAAATTCTCATAGTTCTTTGATGTCCATGCTTGTCCCAACCCTTCTGCAGTTATCTAAAACCACTGGCAGTAGTAAGAACAGGGACGGGCGCACTTCTAATGCAGAGGGAATACTTGCATTGCCCAAGGTTGAGCCAAAAGCTCCCCATCCAATCAATAGTGTAGCTGAAATTCAGAAGGAAGGAAAATCTTGTGCAACTGTCGACGATGAAGTGATATTGCAAGAAGAAAATGAGTCCAACAGACCTGTACGTAAGCCCGAGGTGCCTGTACAAGTTCCTGTTAAAGAGAGGATGCGTGATGAACCGCTTAGTTGTATTGAAAGCATTTTGGGGCAGCTTGTTTCTCGAATGGACCGAATAGAGAATTGCTTTTTGAGGTTTGAAGAAAATATGCTAAGGCCCATCAACAGCATTGAAGGCAGGCTGAAGCAGGTTGAGCAGCAACTTGAAGTTTTAACTAAGGAGTCTCATGGTTCAGAATGGCCATCTTGCTACAGAATGTCTGCTCCGAGCTTTTCTGCTAACGAATCGGTTTCTAACTCGTTCTATAACAGTGGGAACGATCATCCCAGTTGTGGACCAATTGAACCGGATCAAAAGGAACTTCAATCAGGTGCATCACCTGTTGCACTTAATATGCCCAATTCAGAGTGTTCTTCACTGTTGTGTCCTAGTCTTGTGGTAACTGCTCCTGAGTTCTCAAACGGTGAGGATGATGATCAGGAGTGTGTTATGGTAACTGCTTCCGAGTTTTCAAACGGAAATGATGATGGCCAAGGGAATCCAGTCCAGGAAGTTGTAGTCGATTCGCCAAAGAGTAAACCGAAGCCATCCATTGATGATGTATTGGCATCTGCTCTAGCTCAGTTCGCATTATCATCATCTTTATCAGGTGATATGTCTGAAAGTGAATTAGATCCTTTAAGCTGTTCCCAAGAAACTGATAACACACAATGCACACCAAATTCTTCTTCAGCCAATGGCGGGAACTTGAGCCCTTCCAGGCATGACCATACTTCCAAAATTGACGAGGGAGATGGCGACGACGTTCTCAACAATCCAGAATGTAAGCATCAGAGTACCGACGGCGATGTTGGAGTTGCTTCAGCTAAACAAAGCATGAACCAAATGGAGGAACTTGAAAATGTGCAAGCTATTAATGAAACAGGTGAAGATTACATTCCAGAGAGGAGTAACCTTAATGAAAACGAACCTGATAGTATTGATGTCGATGCCGATGCCATTGTTGATGCTGATCCCATGGAGGTTACAAAAGAAGTTCGTAACATAGACATTATCCACGATGTTCTCGGATTTTCCCACGACACATCTGTTGTGAATTTCGAGATTCCAATCCTGGACGTACGCTTCACCACTGTAGGAGATTCGACTTCCAACGATACCCTGAAAGAGCTTCTCGGGGACATGGCGGAATCAAGCTATGGAGGAGCATCTCGTCCCAAGGAAAGTGATGATGGTACTCCTGTTGGCGAGCAATATGACCTCATTTTGGTTGAGGAAGAGGTCCAGGAGAATGCTGCCACAAGAAACTGCCCCATATCGGTTGATATGAACTACTATACCATTATGAGCGAGCCGCTGGTTACTGATGGCGAAAATTTGCAGGATTACTGCAACAATAATACAGCCATCTCGAGTCTTATATGACTAATTTCTGATATAGTTCTTATGGTGAATGTGGATATGTATTTGTATATAAATCTTTTTTAGGCAACAAATAATCTTAGTTTATTTTGGTTTTTGTCTTTAAATTTTCAAAAATTTCTAACGTCATCGTTAATTTTTTTTTTATAAAAATATATCGAAATTATCTTACTGCATTAAAAAAGGATTTTTGGTCATTTAATTTTTACTTGGATAGAGATTCGAACGTTCTAATAATTTTACATTTTGAATATATTAATATTTAAAAATAATATTTTAATTCAGGTAGTTTAAATTTTATGTTATTTTAGTCTATTTTTTAATCTTTTACACTTTTAGTAAATAAAAAAAATTATTTACCATTTGTTGAATTTTACAAAAAAAAAAAAAAAAAATATTAATTTTACACATTTTTAATGAACTATAATTATTATTTAAAATTAGATTAATTTTAAGATTTTCTGAAAAGAAAAAGTAAAAAGGAAAATAAAACTCAAACTAAAATCTTATTTTAATCAAGAAAAAAATGATCGAAGCCGCGAAAAACACAAAGCCGAAGAAACTTTCGACGGTGAA